CTTACCAGCGCAGTAGGCGACGTCACATTGGTAAGTCGGTTGAAGATAATAAACGAAAAAGTCAGGATTTCCGGAACAGCGCTTGACGCTTACGTGGAACGAAAAGCGACAACCATTTCTCCAATTACGGAAGTTAACACAGGCTTTGATGCTAACCACAGGGTCAGTAGAGCTGGCGGGATGGTTGCCAGTGGTGCCATCTAGCCAAACTGGAGATTGGGTGCCACAACGGTTTATGTTCACTTTGTTGGTCGGCATCTGCCCCCCGACAAAGCTAGTAAAACGGTACCATCCAACTGCAAGATCCTTGTCACACAATGCAACTTGACCTGATTTCCACTTACTCACCACGCTGCGCCGAGAATTGTCAATCTCTTTGTGATTGGGCCTCTGACAGCAGTTGTTGCAAGGTTGTTGGCCATATGAATGCGAAATAACGAATACAAGAGTAATACATTTCAGAAGAAACCAGCCAAGGCTCATCTTTGGGCAAATGCTTATCAAACGCTTCTCTTGCTTCTTCTACGACAACAAATTTCCTCTTTCCTCCAAAATAGCTATGCGTCTGATACGATTGTTATTTTGCGATACCCAAGTGATAATACTTTTTGCGTCTTAATAGCTTATCGATGATGTTCTTATGTCGTCCAAAAGGAAAAACTCCAAAGGAATAGCTACAACCTTGAAAGGTAACACCGATAGCAAAATATCGACGTAGGCCTCTACACAAATATTCGGATATTTTTTGAGATATTTAGAAGTTTCCGAGATATTAAGAAAAATTTAGAAAATTTTAAAATATTTAGAAAATTTTGGGATATTTACAAAAATTTATAGTTTTTTTTGGTTGTTTTCCAGCTTTTCCTCGGTATTTTCTTGACAGAATACTCAGTTGTATAATTCTACGCTAGAAATAATCCAGTTCAGAGGTTTCCCACGTGACACTTTGCATCCATGTTGTTTTGAAAGTTGCTTTATTTCCATAATACTAGTGTAGACAATCTCTGACATACTTTTCAGCTCTTGCTGGGGAAAATTTGG